TGTTTCCCAAGGACAAGAACCCTCCCAACACGCCAGAGCTCCGCCCAATTGAGAAATACTGGGCTATTGTCAAGCGGAACCTAAAGAAGACCAAAAAAACTGCTAAGGGCGAGCAGCAGTTCAAGGCAAACTGGCTTTCTGCGGCGAAGAAGGTGACAAGGTGGCTGTACAAAATCTGATGGCAGGGGTCAAGCGTAAGGCCCGGCAATTCGGATTTGGAAAAGCGGAAGCCTAACTGAATATTTTTCCTGAATTTTATACTAATTGAACTTGAAAAAGAAATTTAATTTGATTTTTTAAATAAACGATTTCATCGATTTACACGCGTTTTCCCTTGACCAAATTTTGACCGTATCACCCTTTAGCTACGTCAAAAATACCTAAAAGAAGTCACCTGGGACCTTTGATTTTCTTACTCTACTTCAATTACGTGAACTTGGTCATCGAAGACCCACGACTATCGCATGCGGACGATCTTAAAATCTACCTACGAATCCGCTCGATTGATGACTGTCACTTCCTTCAACGTCAGTTCGAAGCCTTTGCCAGCTGGTGTAATTTGAACCGAATGGTGGTTAACCCCACTAAGTGTTCAGTGATCACTTTTACTCGGAAGAAAGAACCAATCACATTTGAATACAAACTTATCGGCACTGTAATCGACCGTCTGAACCATGTGAAAGATCTGGATTCTCAACTTACGTACAAGTAGCACATCTCGTACGTTGTCGACAAGGCGTCTAGGACACTGGGATTTATCTTCAGGATAGCAAAGAATTTCTCCGATATCTACTGTTTGAAGTCACTGTACTGTTCCTTGGTGCGATCCATTCTAAAATATTGTTCGGTGGTCTGGAGTCCAAACTACAACAATGGTGCTGAGAGAGCTGAGTCCGTTCAACGCCGTTTTCTTCGATTCGCTCTGGGGAAGCTGCCTTGGAGATACCCATTTCATCTGCCCAGCTATGAAAGTCGTTGCCAGCTGATTGATCTGGAGCCTCTCCGAACTAGAAGAGACACCTCTAGGGCCCTGTTCATTGCGGACACTTTACAAGGTAGAATTGATTGCAGTGCAATCTTGGGGCAAGTCAACATTAACGTCCAACCCCGTGCGCTACGTAACAACGTTATGCTGAGATTGCCACTTCAGCGCACAAACTATGGCATGAACGGTGCAATAGGTGGGCTGCAACGAGTGTTCAATCGAGTCTCGGGCATCTTCGATTTCCATATGCCTCGACAGTTGCTACGAAGATACTTCTCGTCGTTCTTTTCTGGCACAGTTAACCGTGAATGATTGTGTGTTTTATTTATGTATTTTATTCTTAGTTTTTATTTTTTGACTTACCTATATAAGTTACTTAAATCATCACTGGGGCCATACACAGCAGACAAATAAATAAATAAATAAATAAACGTCAAACGCTGCATGCCGAAAAAAAAATAGTTTGCATCGAATAAGTCGATTCTTTTACATTTGTTACTTAGTTACGCGAGAATTTTGTGAAATTTCATGGAATTAGGAGGGGAAATATAAGATCGATTCGTTAGTTGGTGTAGAACTGCTCATTTGCAGTTGCAGTTGCATCTTGGGTAAGATGGGGTAAGACGGCTCATCAGCTTAAAGAACAATTTAACCAAAACTGTGCAAAATGTCAGCTATAAATTAAGATAATATTAATATATTGCCATTCCATAGCAAAACGATGTGGTGGTTCTCAGAATTTCACAAAATATTTGACCGATTTTTTCTATGTTGTAATTAGGAAGACCATATCTATGTTAGGGTGGTCCAAAAAAATCAATTTATTTAAAAATGTACTTTCTTGAAAAATTCATAACATCTGAACCACTGAACCGATTTAAAAGATCAAAATATCAAATGAAAGTTAACTTAAAATATAATAAAACAAATAAAAAATAACTTTTTATTAAAAAGCATTGATTGTATTTGTTTTTTTTTTTATAGTTTCCATGGTTTATAGACAGAGGGCGCAATATGTTTTATATTTTTCCTTGAAAATTTAGGCTTTTCTACACTAAATTTAACAAAAAAAAAATCGTTTTTGTGCTATATATATTTTTTTGAAGTTATCAAGTTTTGGGATTTCACCCAATACTCCTATGCGACTAGACTACCATGTTTGTATTTGTATTTGTATTTGTATTTAAAATAATTCATCTGACAATTTAGTCTTAATGAATATATTAGAGCTAATTTAACACAGACCTAATCCGATTTGCAAAACGTTCGGTTGGTTCATTGAACTAGAAAAACTCTTCGACAGCCGTAAACGCACGAATACACGCTGAGATTGGTTCGTTGTTCCCAAACATGGTTCGGTGGAAACTTGGTTGCAGTAGCATTGTATTCCGAAGAGATCTGCTCGGCACACGAAAGTTCATCATCGCAAGCAGGTCGGGGGCATCAGTTTCACCATTCAACAGCTTAGCAATAAGCAACGATTGCTGTACTTTCCGTCGTTGTTCCAGTGTGTCTAAGCCAAACAGTCGGCATCTATCAGGATACGGCGGCAAATTGTCAGGATCACCCCACGGCAAGTTTCTCAGTGCCAGACGAATGAACCGTTTCTGAACCCGTTCGATCCTTAGGCACCACGTGACATGGTGAGGATGCCAAACGACGGACACATTTTCCAAAATTGGACGGACAAGTGCACAGTACAATGACTTCCAACAATGTGGATCCGAAAAATCCTTCGCAACTTTGGAAATAAAGCCCAACTGTCGCGTTGCTTTCGATATGAGCGCTGAACGGTGTAAATCAAAAGTCATTTTTGTGTCTAGTTGAACCCCTAGATCAGTCACACTGGTAAGAGTATCGCCGTCAATATGATAGTCAAACAAAATTGGATGTACCATGCGGTGAAACGTGATTATCTGACATTTTTCCACGCTAATAGTCAGTTTGTTTCTCTGGCACCAATCGGCAAACAAAGTCAGCGAGTTTTGCAGAAGCCAACAAGCTTCTTGTGTGCGCACCACAATGTACAGCTTTAAATTATCTGCATATACCAGTTTGAATCCTTCGCCCAAAACCAAAGCAGCATCGTTGAAGAACAGAATAAACAGCAACGGTCCGAGATTACTACCTTGTGGAACTCCAGACTTGTTTGAAAACGGCGAAGATACAAAACCCTCAACCTTCACTCGAAGTACACGCTCTGTAAGGTAGGATTCCAACCAAAAACCCAATTGGATAGAAACTCCAAGACGAGATAACTTGTGTAGCAGTATGTTATGATCAATTTTATCGAACGCCGCCTTCAGGTCGGTATAAATTACATCGACTTGCGCTTTTTCCTCCATACTTTTTATGCACTTCGACGTAAAATTCAACAAATTGGTGGTAACCGATCGTCCGGGCATGAATCCGTGTTGATCAGTGGATATGTAGCTTTTTGTGGCATCGAGAATAACTGCACCCACTATAATCTCAAACAATTTTGAGACAGCTGAGAGACTCGTGATTCCCCGATAGTTAACAACATTGTAACGATCACCACGTTTGAAAATGGGTGTCATAAACGATTGCTTCCAAATGCGAGGAAATTTTGCTTGCTGAAGTGAGCGATTGAAGATATCACACAACGGTTGTGCTAAAGCGGCAATACAACGGCATATTATAACTGCAGGCAAACCATCAGGACCAGGGACAATCGAACGTTTCAGTTTTTTTGCAGCCAATAAAACTATTTCTGGATTTACAGCAAATAGTCCAAACTCAACAAAATCAGCGGGAACATCACTGGTGGCTTCATCGATTTCCAAGTTTGAGGCGGGATTCGTCGCGAATACGGATGCAAAATGCTTGGCAAACAACTGGCATGACTCTGTAGCTGACGCTGCAGTCGCTATAAACGACGCATTGAATTGGTGTGACGTCTAGATACCAGAAATCTATATTCGACACCATTTTGAGATCCAATATGGCGGCTCCGTTTTAAGAAAAAGTAGGATATAACGATAAATACCCATTAATATAGGTATTGCTGGAATTGGGATGATGTCTAGAGGCCAAGGTTGCAAATACTCATTTCAGCTAAAATAATGTTTTTCGGAATAATAAAACCAAAAGATGGTATGATGGCATGTTTTACTTGTAACTTAAGAATGCGTTTGAAACATAAAACCTGTAAATTTTGCTTTCTTTGAGTCACAATCAGCGATTTGCGAATCGCTGAGTGAGTGAGTGAGTGAGTGTGTGAAAAATCGCTAATTGTGACTCTCATGAAGTAAAATAAACAGGTTTAATATGTCAAACACATTCTTTGCAACCTCTTCTTGTATCCTACCAATTCAAAATATGATCATGGCATCCTTATCCTAGCAACACGTCTCGGTCGTCGGTCTCCGGTGTTTGTTTACGAAATTTTAAACTGTTTTTTTGTATGTTTTTGTGCACTGTTAATTATTGACAAAGGATTTGTGTATGTCCTGATGGTTGATCCTTCCCATACCAGCGATAGTGAATAGTGACAGTGAACCGTGCCTGACTTTTCACGGTGTTTACTTTGTGACACCAGTCCAGTGACTCGCCTTTGTTGCATTCGCTCATTCATTCACTTACGCTCGCGCTTTTTCGTTCAAAACGCCATCTCTCAACAAACTTCGGAAGCGTACACGTTGACCATACACGAACTTAGCCTACATTTTGGCGCTTCCCAACCACCGTCGTATTGCGGAGGATTGGAACAAAGCAGTTTTCATCGTCGCCACTAAATGGATACATGCCAGGTTTGCCCGCGACCCTTGAACTCGGGTAGGGTAATAACGTGCAGTGGAACGTGTGGCACGACATTCCATCACACTTGCATAGGGCTAACTAAGGTTCAATATGCATCTTGGACCGCGAATGTTGGACTCTATTGGTTCTGCAACGCTTGCCGCTTAAATTTCGAGCCTGCCGTTTACGACCGTGAAAAAACGATTATGAAAGCCCTCCGCGATCTTTTAATACGAACAGATTCAATGGACACTCGGCTAGGAAATTATGGTGAGAATCTTCGTAAAATCAACAAAACAATCTACGGCAAACAACAACAAACGAAGCAAACACACCAATCAACTTTCCTACACGACCTGGATCAACTTACTCTTGACGACACTTCGGAAGATCCTATCAATCGTTCAAGGTCTTGCGAAGAGACGTCATTCTTCGAGGTACTCGACGAAATCAGCTCCACAATTGCTCAACCAACGGAAAAGTTCGTGATCGGTTCCAACAAGCGGGTGCGGATACTGCCAAGCCAACCGTCCTCAAGTTCCGGACCTGCTGGCAATAATGCATCTCGTTTGAATGGTTCAACGCAATCCACTCCAACTCATGAACCGAAACCTTTGACCGTCGACAATCCGGCTCCCCTCATCAACATCGATCCCCATGACGAAGGCAATGGGTCTCGCATCGACTCTGCAGTAGATAGCACAAGGTCCCGCATACAACCTGGCAGCAATACCAGACCGAGCATCACATCCCTGCGAATCGCAAAGAAAGACCAGAATGTGAACGACATGGTTTCTTTCTACGTGACTCCCTTCGCACCAGAACAAAATGAGAATGACTTGAAGCAGCATGTCCAGGACATCTCTAATGTTGATTCGTCTCAACTCAAAATCATCAAGCTAGTTCCCCGAGGAAAGAGTATGGAAGACCTTTCATTTGTCTCTTTCAAAGTGACCGTTTGCAAAGCAGTATCGGGAGTAGTCGGCGATCCGTGGTATTGGCCTGATGGAATAACAGTCCGCATGTTTCAGCCGAACCAAAAAAATGGACCCTCTGCCCGTCTTCACAAATCATCATAGACCACTCTTTCATCCCAGGACGCATCGTAACAAGCTCTAAGGAAGACCCTCATCCGTCTGACACAGTCGTGCTGCATCCTGAGTCCAACGACCAGCGTCAAAGTCGTCCTGGCCCTGTGTTCAGCTCTGGAGGCGGGGTCTTCCAAGCTGCCCTCTCAGGCAAGTACCATTCCGACATGAACAATTCGTACGTTGAAAATCTTCAATCCCGCAGCTTCAATACCTCCAGTTCAGCACAACGCAGCAATGCGAGCCCAGCGGACAACTGTCATCATCCAACACTCCCAAGAGCCGTGATAACGAGCTCCAATGTTACCAAACAACATCCGGGACGCCTACTTTTCAGTACATTGGAGGACCCCGAGCCCCCCATCACAGTCGAGCACATCCAGCCATCGTTCAGCAGTCGTCCCGGCCCTGTGTTTGGGTCAGGTGAAGGGGTCCTCCAGCCTGCACTGTCAGGCAAGTATCCACTTCTCTCAACTTGTTCCCTGCATAATGGTTCTCCGAGTTTCAGCGAACGTGCAGCATGTGACAATGACGTGATTGCTAGTATTGACGACGATGCCCATTCAACCGATCAGTTTACATCCATCTACTACCAAAACGTAAGAGGCCTGCGTACCAAAACGAACGAGCTGCGATTGCTTCTATCGAGCTGCGACTACGATGTTATCGTGCTAACAGAGACTTGGCTGCGACAAGACATAAAGGATGGAGAACTGTCGTCAAATTATGCAATTTTCAGATGCGATCGTAGTGAACTTACGAGCCAACTATCGAGGGGTGGTGGTGTACTAATCGCCGTCAAAACGAGTCATCAGTGCTGCGCAGTATCAGTGGCCGACTGTGAGCAGCTTGAGCAGACCGTTGTGCGGTTACAACTAAAAAACCGTTCGGTATACGTCTTTGGAATATACCTTCGACCAAATTCCAGTCCTGAAATGTACTCTGCTCACGCCGACGCAATCCGAAAGGTTTGCGATAAACTTCAAGACGATGACGTTGTTCTAGCGTTAGGCGACTATAATCTTCCCGGACTCTGCTGGCGCTTCGATGGCGATATCAATGGTCATTTACCATCAAACGCCTCAACAGAACAAGAACTTGCGCTTACCGAGCCGATATTTGCATGGGGTTTGGTTCAGATCAACTCTTTAGTGAACGTCAATGGCAGGACTCTCGATCTTGCATTCGCTAACGCTCCGGACTATTTTGAGCTAATTGACCCTCCAGTTCCGCTCCTGAAAATTGACCCCCATCACAAGCCATTTCTCCTACGACTCGATACTCATTACACTACGAGGAATCACGCCAGCGCTCAAATGGGTGTAACCTATCTAGACTTCAGAAGATGTGACGTAAACCTAGTGAATAACGAACTTTCGGCTGTTGATTGGCTCTCACTGTTGAATCGACCCTCGATAGACGAAACTGTGTCCGTTTTCTATGATAAACTGCACAGGATCTTTGACAAGGTTGTTCCTCGCCGTCACTGCACTTCCAACGCGGTAAACAGAAAACCCTGGTGGACAGGGGAATTACGTCAACAACGCAACAGGCTTCGTAAGGCTCATAATCGTTTTTTCAGTGTGAGATCAGACGAGAACAAGAACAACCTCCGTAACATCGAAAGCAGCTACAACGAACTCCTTGCATCGACCTATGAAGCATACGTCAACAATCTCCAGTCAAACTTGAAGCAGAACCCCGCATCGTTCTGGAAGTTCGTCAGGGACAGCAAAGCAAACAAACGCATTCCCTGCAATGTCGAATATGAAGGAGTGACAGCTGCAACACCTAGTGAATCTGCAACTCTATTCGCTGACTTTCTCAAAAGTGTGTTCAGTACTTCTCCACCGATTCCTCTTCCCGGAAGTTTCCAGCGAGTGCCATCGTACGACGTGAACCTGCCTACTGTATGTATCTCTCCAGAGGAGGTACTGAAATTATTGAACGACCTGGATGTTTCGAAGGGAGCAGGTGTAGACGGATTGCCTCCTTCCATTATCAAAGCTTGTGCATTAAAACTAGTGACGCCCGTAACCTTGATATTTAACCAATCGCTATCAAAAGGTGAATTTCCAACCATGTGGAAAACTGCTAAAATGGTGCCAATCCACAAAACTGGCAATCTAAATCGAGTAGAAAATTACAGAGGCATTTCGATACTTTGCTGCCTCGGTAAGGTTTTCGAGAAACTGGTGCACCAGTTTTTGTACAATGCATCTAGACCGTTAATATGCGAGTTCCAGCATGGTTTCGTGGAACGGCGATCAACAACGACCAATTTGATGTGCTACACAAACACTCTGTTCCACGAAGTCGAGGCTCGTAGTCAGGTTGACTCAGTCTACGTGGACTTCTCTAAAGCATTTAACACCGTACCACACATCCATATCACTGAGAAACTTCTGCACATGGGCTTCCCGATTTGGATCATTGAGTGGCTCAAATCTTATCTAACAAATCGCAAAGCTTTTGTTCAAATCGAGACTGAAGAGTCATCAGTTTTCGACGTAACCTCTGGAGTACCTCAAGGAAGTGTGCTAGGACCACTTATTTTCATTCTGTACATCAATGACCTTGGTCTCCGCTTATCGTCTGGCAAATCTTTCTTCGCAGACGATTTTAAACTATTCAGGGTAATTGCATCGGTCTTGGACTGTGCTGCCATACAAAACGACATTGACGAATTGTTGAAATGGTGCGAAGAGAACGGGATGAACGTTAACATAAAAAAATGTAAAGCGATTTCATTCACACGTTGCCGCACTGTGTTGAAATACAGCTATAAGATCGGGCCCTCTACCCTGGAACGTGTAGATTCTATTCGTGACTTAGGTGTTATATTGGACAGCAAACTGAGATTCAACGAACAAATCTCTACAACAGCTGCAAAGGCCTTTGCTGTCCTAGGATACATTCGACGCCATGCAGCCTTCATCACCGACGCTTATGCTTTGAAGGCGTTATTTTGCTCATTGGTACGAAGCATACTTGAATACGCCGCACCTGTTTGGACACCGTATCAATCTACACTAGCCAGCAAATTAGAACGAGTTCAGAAATACTTCGTTCGGTTTGCTCTCCGCCACCTACCATGGAACAATGAAACACACCTGCCTCCATATACCTCACGCTGCTTATTACTTGACTTGGAAACGCTGTCTGCCAGACGCCTGAAATTGCAGCGTATCTTCATCTTCGACATTCTTACGGATCGCATCGACTGCCCTGCGCTGCGTCAGCTTGTCAACTTCAACGCTCCATCTCGTTCACTTCGAACTCACGCTGCGCTTTACGTACCTCATCACAGAACAAGCTATGGACATAACAACCCTCTGAGTACCTGTATACGTGCTTTCAACACTGTTTATGATCAGTTTGACTTTAACATTAGCAAAAATGTGTTTAGTACTAGAATTAGAAATTTAGATTAAGTTGCAGTCTGAACGAGTATATCGAAGACGAAGGAAGAAATAAATAAATAAATAAATAATTATGCCATGATTAAAAAAAAATGTTTTGACTGAAATGAGTATTTGAAACCTTGCTAGAGGCTATATAATAATTTTTTTTTTTAATGTGATTTTTCTTTTGTTGGAAAAAGTTTTTGAACGAGGCAATGAATCACTAACGTGTGCCCTTTCTACCACCGCTCGTCACTTTAATGTGTGCACAGGCAACAAAAAGCATATGTTTCAATCAATGCTACTCATAATGATGGATTATAACTGATAATGTCGTGTTCAGACTACAGTGTTATCACATGTTACAAGTGTGTTATAATAATTATCAACAAGTAAACGTCATCAACATAGCCTTGTAACAAACACTCAAGAAGTGGAATAACGAATGTACAGCTGTATGGATGTTATATTCATCAACTCTGTATTCGTCTGATTAGTAAGTGGTATGTGTCTCCAGTGGGATGCCTTGACCATCATTTTCAAGATCTGGCTTCTACTAAATTGACCTAAAAAAGAACTGGCATCACTGACAAGTTCGAAATAAGGTGGCTTGCTTAACGCTTCAGTGGCGTCATCAAGGCAAAGGCGAGCACATTCCCTACTGAAACCTTATTTGCGAAGGTGTGTTATGTCTGTTTGTCTTTTTGCAATATACAGTATCCCACCTCCCGCTAACCCAGCTCTCGTTAATCTGACAATTTTATAATCCAATATCATGGTCTCTTACGGAGCTTCTCTTCTTGCAAATTTGCTGATCAGCTGTATTATTCAACAAAACATCAACTCAATTCAACATAAAAATCTATTTAACTCGCACTGTTGTGAGTGATCTTCCATGGCAGATTATTGAATAACAAACCTTTAAACAACAACAACAACAACAAACACCATCCACAGACGGTTCACAATCACACAGATAAGCCCAAACCGGCTTCCCCATTCACCCCATTATGCTTGTTTACACTCATTCGCGAGCCGACCCACTTGGATTCAACTAGACATACACAATTTAGCTTGAACGTACTTATCTCAGTGCGCCGAACGAGCCTGTCTCGAACAGTTCAGCACCGGCATGGCTGTGACTGAAGTACTTCTTTTCGCTGCAATCATTTTGACAATCCTATCTCTATTAGTCAAGCATCGGTACGGTTTTTGGCAGCGCCATGGTGCCCCATATCTGCAACCCGAATTCCCGTTCGGCAATTTCAAGGAAATGGGTAAAACCATACACCCGGCTTTCCTAACGCAACGGATCTACAACCAATTCAAGCGCAAGGGACCATTTGTTGGATTGTACATATTCCTGAATCCGGTAATGCTGGTGACCGACTTGCACTTGGCCAAGAAAATCCTGATCAAGGACTTCAACTGCTTCCCGAACCGTGGTGTGTATTTCAACGAGAAGGACGACCCCCTTTCGTCGCACCTGTTTTCGTTGGAGGGTAGCAGATGGAGAGATTTGCGAGCCAAAATCACACCCACGTTCAGCACTGGACGGATCCGGATGGCATTCCCGGCGGTGCTGGAAGTTGCGGGTAGGTTCATTGATTACCTGGAAGTGAATTGTGTCGGGTTGGATGCGACCGAAATTCGGGATTCGATGGCACGCTTTACGACCGATGTGATTGGAAGATGTGCGTTCGGGTTGGAGTGCAATAGTTTCCGCGATCCGGAAAATGAGTTCCGGAGGATTGGTAGGAAGCATTTTGATACTCCGAGGAATCATCCATTGAAGGTGTTTATCATGAAGACGTTCCGAGGTTTGGCGAACTCTATGGGGATGAAGCAGATTCATGATGATGTGTCGGAATTTTTCAGTGGAGTTGTTAGAGAAACGATCGAGCACAGAGAGAGGGAGGGCGTTTCCAGGGGTGATTTTCTGGATTTATTAATCAAGTTGAAGAATACGGGAAGGTTGGAAGATTCCGGCGAAGATATTGGACAGTTGACCTTCGACGAAATTGCCGCTCAGGCATTCATATTCTTCACAGCTGGGTTCGAGACCACTTCGAGTACATTAACGTATACGCTTTACGAGCTGGCGAGAAACCAAGCTATTCAGGAGGTAGCCAGAGAGGATGTTGAAAAAGTTTTGAAGAAGTTTGATGGATCCTACAGCTATGAATGCTTTCAAAGTATGACCTATCTCGATCAGTGTATTAACGGTAAGATTTAGTTAAATTAAGCTTGTCAATGAATAACCTCTCAATTTCAGAAACTCTTCGCAAATACCCTCCGGTTGTGAACTTGGAACGGGTGGTAGACAGAGACTACATGCTCGAAGAATCCGGAATCATTCTACCTCAGGGGATGAAGATCATGATTCCGGCCTACGCCATCCATCATGACCCTGATGTCTATGCGAATCCAAGCCAATATGACCCGGATCGATTTTGTCCGGAGCAAGCTGGCAACAGAGATCCCTGTTCGTTCCTGCCGTTTGGAGAAGGACCTAGAATATGCATCGGTTTGCGTTTCGGAATGCTACAGGCTCGAGTGGGACTTGCAATGATCTTGAAGAACTTTCGAATACTGCCGTGCAGCAAGACTGAGGATCCCATCATCTTCTCTAAACGCGCATTTGTTCTCACTCCGATCAACGGGATGTGGCTCAAGTTAGAGAAATTGCACTGATACTGTTTTAAGCTAAGTTTTTATTAGGGTATCTATCACTGAAATACATAACATTTTCAGGAACTACAGTTTTTCCACCTTCAACCAAAGCCCTTGCTCCGGCGAAAGGATGAAGCTTTTCGCTGTGAAATCTAACGGTACGGTTGACTTTTGTCCACTGGTGAATCGGAAGCTCTTCAACAGCAGGGCCAGCCCGATTCGGGCTTGCATCAGGCCAAATCTCATGCCAACGCAGATCCTTGGACCTTCTCCGAATGGAGTCCAAGCGTACGGATGTCGCTTGCTGATCTCTTCCGGTGTGAACCTATTGGGGTCGAACTTCTCTGGATCTGGGAAAATTTCCGGATCGTGGTGAACAGCGTAGACTGGGATCATCACTGATGTCCCTGCCGGAAGAATCGTTTCTGTGTTGGGAACTTTGTAATCTTTGGTCACGATGCGAAAGTGTACCGGGACCGGGGGGTACTTCCGGAGGGTTTCTAAAATATTGAAAGATACGTTATTTGGGGAATTCAAACAAATCACTTCGCACGCAGTTTACTCACCTTGCAAAATTTGATCAATGTAGGTCATTTCCATAATTGCTTCGTAGCTCAGCTCTCCATTATGTTTATTCAGAACATCCTGAACACATTTTCGTCCCTTCTCCTGAATATCCTGGTTAACAGACAATTCGTACAATGCCCAAGTCATAGTGGTGGACGATGTCTCAAATCCCGCCACAAAGAACACGAATGCCTGAGCAGCTACCTCATTGAATGTCAACGGTCCAAGTTCCACATTAGATCCCGTCAGCATTCCAATCAACAAATCTATGAAGTCATTCCTTCGCACATCATTCTTCACCCGATAGTCGATAGTCTCTCGAACCACTCCCAGAAAGAAATCCGACAACTCCGGTACAATCTGCCTTAATCCTAAAAACCGGGCTAACCCCGGAGCAACCGAACACAGTATATCCTTCTTCCTATTTCTAGGCGCTTCGAAGTGCATCCGTCCCATCTGCCGGAACTGCGCGTCTGGATTGGTCATAGAATTGCACTCGATCCCGAAAGCACACATTCCTATAACATCGGTCGTAAACCGAGCCAGCAAATCCTTCAGTTCCAATTCGTTTTCCTTTCCGACTTTCTCCTCCATGTAGTCGCTGAATTGCTTCCCGGCAGCGATCATCGTCGGGTACATTATCTTCATCTTCCCCGAGGTAAACGTCGGCGAAATCTTCATCCGCAAATTGCGCCACTTATTGCCTTCCAGATTGAACAGATGCGCCGACAGGGGATCATCCTTCTCGTTGTAGTACGTACCGCGATCGTGAAAGTACTGGAAATCCTTCACAAAGATGCACTTCAGCAGCTCCAAATCGATGGCCAAGGCAACCGGTTTGGTGAAGAGGTACATTCCGACAAAGGGGTACTGTCCTTTGAATTTTTTGTAGTATTCTTGAAATTTGCGAGCCATGTGAGTTGAAGGGTCCACATTCTTCCGGAAGTTGACCGGGTTGTGCGGGACGTTAAGATCAGACCAAAAGGTTAGCTGTTTGCGTAGTCGGTACAGGCCGTACCCGACGAGGAGTGCGATTGCAGTTATCAGCAAGGAGATGTCCATCGCTGCTGGTGGTTAGGCTGTAACTGGCAAAGAAATCATTGCTTGTTGGCATTTATTTGATTTATTGAATGAGGTTTATCAAATAAAAACAAGATAAGATATTGCGTTGGGAGGTTTGGGTTTGTATGAGAAACATGTGAAGGTTCACATAAGCTATGCATAGCGCTGGAAGAAGGTGTGAACGTTTTATTTTGAGAAAGATGCTGAATAATGCTTAAGATTAGAATAAGCGATTCAAATGTAATTGAGCCAACTTTGCCAAACTCAGTGACTCATGGTATCATATATGTTGAATGTCCCAAGGAACTTAGAGGCCGTTGAGTCAAGAAGCAATCAATTGATGATTGGTTGAGAGGTGGTGTAGGGACAACATATGGCTGACATGGGAAATCTATACCAGGTTTATAATGTAAAGAGGATCGAACTTATTTTGATTTTGATAATAATAGCTCTGCTAGTCTTCACCAGCTCAAATTTGTCAACAGCTGTTTAGGTTGTCCATATTTGTTTTAATATTGGGTTATTTGGGTTATCGAAAAAAACAGGAATTAATCAGTTTATTTTTCTCTCAAATATTATCAGCTCCAAGCACAATCCCAAAACTAAACCTAAACTCAGGACAAAAGATAAATTTCTGCTCAAAGCACGCTTCTGACCAGTGCCCCACAAAGTCACTTTCAATCGAAAATCATCAAGTGACGATGAAGCTGTAAACCATCACTTTCAATTGAAAGTCATTCTGTCTTCTCTCCGAGCAGATCTCCGTCAACATCAACAGAACCACTTTCGATCAGTTTTCATGCTGTTTGTTTTGGCTTGAATCGTGCTCATTTCTTCTTTCATTGTCAAATGAACTTACTTTTGCATTGAAGCGAAGCTGTTCGTTCCAAATTCGCGCAGTTTTTATGACTTTTGATTATTGTCCAATCGGTTCATTTAATCGTATGTGCGCATAGATCTGTGCACGTGGATGTCAAATTTATCATTATCTGGTGGTTTGTTTACCCATCAATATGGCTATTTTTTTTTAATCGGGGGTCTAGAGATCGAAAATTGATATGAGAAGCCATTTTTCAATCCAAGATGGTGGCTTCCAGTTAAGCAAAAATTGGAAAATACTGTCAAATACCAATCAATCAAAGTCTTTTTGGAATCTGGATGATCTCTAGAGGATGAAAATCCATATCCGACGCCATTTTGAAATCGTAGATGGTGGCTTCCGATTTAAGAAAAAGTGGAAATACAGACAAATACACATCAATATTGACATTTTTGTAATCAGTATGTCTACAGATCGAAAATGATATGCGACGCCATTTTGAAATCCAAGATGGCTTCCTATTTCAAAACAAATGGGAAATATTTTCAAATACCCATCAATAAAGGTATTTTTGGAATCGGGATGCCGTCTAGAGGCCGAAAATCGATATCCGACGTCATTTTGAAATCCAAAACGAGGACTTACGATTTGCGAAAAAGTGTCAAATACCCTAAAATATGGTTATTTTCAGAATGGGGATGAGACGTAGATGCCAAAAATTGATGTCACACCGTCTTTAAATCCAAGATGGCGGCTTTGGTTCAGGGAAACTGTGAAATACTGTCAAATACCGATCAATGTTGGTTTTTTGGAATCGGGTGACATCTAGAAGCCAGAAATCGATGTCCAACGCCATCTTGAAATTCAAAATGGTGGTTTTCGATTCCAGAAGAAGTGTCAAATGGTCTGCGAATGGCATTGAATATCGATTTTCAGCATCTACGCGTCGTGGGAATCGGAAAGGTCCCCGTTCCGAAAAATACCCTAATATTTGGGTATTTAACACCTTTATGAAACTTGATGGCCGCCATATTGGATTCCAAAATGGCGTCGAATATCAATTTTTGACATCTGCGCTTTGTTCCCGTTCCTAAAATATCCATACTTAGGGTATTTACACTTCCGAAAACCAATTGTCACTGTTTTAAATTCCAAAATGGCGTCGGGTATCGATTTTTAGCATCTACGTGCCATCCGTTCTGAAAACATCGAGAAAAATATTCTATTGACTGTAGGGAATTTGACACTTTTTCTGAAACCCGATGGCTGACATTTTGGAATCGAGAATGGCGTCGGATATCGATTTTCATCACCTTCGCGTCGTCCCCGTTTTGAAAATACCCGTATTGTAGGGTATTTGAGTCTTTTCCTGACCCCGATGGCTACCATCTTGGACTCCAGAATGGCCTCGTTGATTTAATTTTCGTTTAACATAAAATAATATATTATTACTACATATAATCCGTATGCCATCCCTATTGACAACCGAAATTGTGCGGATACTATATTTTTATGCTTGACGACGCGATGCGTGACAAGTCAAATGAGAATAATTGAAGTGAAAGTGGAAAAAAAAACGAAGGAAGCAGTTTTCGAGTCATTCATTGCGTCAATTGAAACAATTCTTTGTTTCAAATGAAATGAACTGAAGCACTTGACGAACGAAACAAGCGATAGACAAGTCATGTTTGAAAGCAGGAATGTTCATCGAGGCTCGATAACAACAAACACAATGACTTACACGAAAATGATATTGCTCGAAATGAAGCGATTCTGTGGAGAGTTCATTTTCTTTTCTTTGTTTCGAAAATGCATAGCCCTGCTACTGACATCTGTTCACGGGGTAAAAGATGAACTAGCATATGGATAAAAATCTCTTAAATAAAGACCAAAAAATCTGTTCACGGCGAATGAGATCAACCCAAATTTGAGTTTAGTTCACTCATAATCGCCAAAAGTGCAGGAACTCAACGGTGAGTAAATTTGCCTCATGTTTTCGCAGGTTTTTTCCAGGATTTTCCAGGGAAAAATTCCCAAATTTGAGAAAAGTATAAATTGGATTCACTCAGTCTATTGGTACTACTCCGAGACTGAATACAATTTTCGTCAATTTCCTCATTTTCCGGCAGATTTTTTAGGTTTTCCACAGGAAACCATGAGACAAATTTACTCATCGCTCAGTTCCTCAGGAAAATCCCCAAAGGCTTGGTAGCCATCATCATTTCTTATTAGAGATTTGTATAGATTTTTCTCCTTTAGCTTACTTAAATCTTTGGTTTTTATTAGTTAGGTAGGTTCCGATTCAACACATTGTAGTTTCATTTTTATACCTATGATCTTGACTTTTTTACCTAGGGGATGAGTACTTAAGGGGGTTAGATTTTGATAAGTTCTTTAGTGGGAATGCCACTGATGAAGACTGCACATTGTAGTCGAAATACGTATCTGTCATGGATACAAAAATTAATTAAGTGGAATTAAATGGAATTAAATGGAAGATAAACCCTTTTGCTGTTTTATTTAGCATTCCGCTAACAACCCAATTTCATTACTTCATGTCAAGACAGTTCCATGCATATCAGGGAAATGGCGAAAACTT